TGTGTGTGTGTGTGTGTGTGTGTGTGTGTGTGTGTGTGTGTGTGTGTGTGTGTGTGTGTGAATTAAAAAATCATCAATTGTATTTTAGTTCTTCCTCACAAGCGCTCATATCAACCCAGCACCTTCTAAACAGGAAACATTTCCCAGCAGAAACAAAAGTATCAAAATGGTCAATGAAAGAGGCCTGTCCAAAGTATTTTTGTACCCCATATTGAGCTGTAAATAAATTCAGTGAGCTAAAATTATCCCTTCTCATCTCTCTCTCTCTCCCAGGGTTCCCGTTTGAGAAGGTGGTGCAGCGCACACTGTACCTGCAAGTGCTAGATTATGACCGTTTTAGCAGGAATGACCCTATAGGAGAGGTGTCCATCCCCCTGAACAAGATCGATCTGGCCCACATGCAGACCTTCTGGAAGGAGCTGAAACCCTGCAGTGACGGCAGTGTGAGTAGATCTGTGTGTTTCTGCTAGTAAGTTCTCTAGGTAGGGTTTTCTGGTATGAGGTGTCCAAAAGATCTCCCAGGGGTTCATTGATTTCAGCGTGAAAGTCCATCGCCGGTGCTGTGCTTAGTGTTTGAAGCTGTAGGGTTTGGACCAAAACTTTGTAGTTCATTGAAATGGTCCTGTGATGTGACAAATTAATTGTTAAAAGTACAAATATTACATGAAGTCACTCAGTTAATATGAGGTGATTAGAACTGCATGTGTGATGATTGTGGAAGGAATGGAAGAATTTTGTTACAGACAATTTTAGTAACAGAAAATATATGGTTCAGATATATATATTATTTGGCTGACATTTTTAAGTTTTTTAAGACAAATTTTAAGGTAGGTTACTGTGAATACTTGGTCAAATGTCACAGTGCACATTTTTCAAATGTAATATTTTTGTGTAAAAATGTCATTTAAGCTTTTGTGTGTCTCATTGTGTCTTATTTGCCATCATTAACTGGTTTTATATAAAATATATATTTAATAATATTATTTGTGATTGTTATTATATATAAACACACATAATAAATATTAGTACTGCATATAATATAATGTACTCATTTTAATGTAAATAAGAAAATAAAAAAATGAAATAATAAAAACTTTATTCATATAAAAATAATTTTAAAATGTAAATTAAGCTGTTGTGTGTCTGATTTGCTATCATTAAATTATATGTGTATATAATATAAATGTATTAATAACAATAATATATTATTGTATATTTTTTTCTAGTGTGTGTGTGTGTGTGTGTGTTTATGTGTGCATTTTCTTCTTGACTTGTTTTAACATGTGGAGACAAAAAGAGATCGTAGCAGAAATAATACATCAGAGAAATTCAATACAATTATCAAACACAAAATACATTGTTAAAAAACATAATAATGTAATGAGTAGGGGAAACCATAAAAACAGAACCAGAATTTATATTACAATACAATTATATTAATATTAAAATAAAAAATTGCAAGTAAATAAATAATCGAAGTACACCATGTAGTGTACACAACAATGTAAAGCTGAATCAAATATTTCATTTTTTCTATTAAAATTAAATAATAATAGAAATATACATTTCAACAAAATATCAGCATCAAACATTGAAAATCCTATAAAGGTCAACCACTGACTAGTTGAAAAAGTTGCCAGGTTTTTACTCATAGAAAAAAGCTGTGACCTCATACGAACCAGCTTGCGTGACAGTGAGGTTTGAACCCAATGAACCGGTCCAGTACTGACCTTTCTGTGTTCTTATCTTCAGGGGAGTCGAGGAGACCTGCTCGTGACTCTGTGTTACAATCCCACTGCCAACACCATTACTGTGAGCATCATCAAGGCACGCAATCTCAAAGCCATGGACATCGGGGGAACGTCCGGTATCAACATACACCCATAAAACCTCAGAGATGAATCCGTTTTTAACTATTACATTTAACATCATATGTTATAGTCATATTCCTGAAGCTCATCTGGTAGGATGGCAGTAGCACACCATCATGGGTTCGATACCCACAGGACACACTGTATATGTGTTTACCTTAAATGTACTGTAAGTTATTTCACAAAGCATGTGCTAAATGAATAAATGCAAATGTAATATGGTTATATTCTGAGTGCTTATGGGATTTCTGTGAAAATGTCCTTGTCATGGTGCCATCTGTGCAGTTATCATCTCCAATGTAATTTAGAATTAATTGCAGGAATTCTGTTTCCCTGGACGTGACTCACTGTGGACCGTTCCCTGTTTGTGTGCATTTCAGACCCCTACGTCAAAGTGTGGCTGATGAACAAAGATAAACGAGTGGAGAAGAAGAAGACGGTGGTGATGAAGAGGTGTTTGAACCCTGTCTTTAATGAGTCCTTCCCCTTTGATGTCCCCACTCACGTCCTCAGAGAGACCACCATCATCATCACAGTCATGGATAAGGATAGACTGAGCCGCAATGATGTCATAGGCAAGGTGTGATGTCACAAAGAATTAGTGGAATATTAGAAATCTTTTGTAACAATATAAACTAGCGTTCAAAAGTTTGGGGTCTGTGTGTGCGTGTGTGTGTTTTCTTTAATTAATACTTTTATTCAACAAGGATATGTTAAATTGATAAAGAATCAAAGAATCCTGAAAAAAAGTATCACAGGTTCCAAAAAATATTACGTCTGTTTTTAACATTGATAATAAATCAGCATATTAGTATTTTCTGAAGGATCCATGTGACACTGCAGACTGGAGTAATGATGCTGAAAATTAATTTTTGCATCACAAGAATAAATTATATTTTAAAGTATTTTACAATAGAAAAACGTTATTTTAAATTATTGTTTTAAATTTCACAATGTTGCTGTTTTTACTGTATTTTTTATACAAATAAATGCAGACTAGAGGCACTACTTTAAAAACATTAAAAATCTTACTGATCCCAAACTTTTGATTTTGTATATATATATATATATATATATTACTCTTGGTCCGTTCACCACACCAGTTGCACCCCCCTAAGGACGGCATGGTAGTATATATACTAATTCATGGAAATGACTTGAATTTACTAAACGTAGTTTATCTAAAAGGCACAAGTTTAACTACATTGGGAAAAAAAATTGGGTGCAGAAACAATTTTCACAATTTCACTAGTTAATTTCACAAATGATTACAAAGAAATGAGAAGTAACACTTTGAATTAAATGTTACATTTTAAAATAGAAAGAGTGAAATATTATTTTCTTGTAAAACGTACTCCAGTAATCTTGTTTTACTTACTTATAACTTTGAAAAATCATTTTTATAGTGTACAAAGTGGTCATTAACTATACAGTGCTTTTTCAGTTTGTAGCTTTATTAGTAACTTCAGTGGAAGCACAGTCCTTATTTTTTTCCTGTTCTTGTTTATTCCACCTTCTCTTTCTTTTCATGTCATATTTCTAGATCTATCTCTCATGGAAGAGTGGCCCAGCAGAGGTGAAGCACTGGAAAGACATGATGAGTCACCCTCGAACTGCCGTTGCCCAATGGCACGCTCTCAAAGCTTGAAGGACCCGCCCACCAAAAGTAAACAACCCCTTCAGAACCCTGTTGATATGCACAAGTTTAAACATGGGTACCAAAAGCCATCCAACTATCTTTCTTTCTCATTCTCTGTCCCTCTTCCTCCCTTCTCAATTTTTTTTCCCTGCAGTTTGTTTATGGAGACCCTTCCTTTATTCACAGCTTTTATTTTTTCCCACCAAAAAGAGCCTAAGCACTGCCAAGAAAAAGTCTTGCGTAACCGAGAGAGGTGAACAGACTCGTCTTCCTTGAGAAAAAAGTTTGACAACTCAACTGTTCTCTGAACAGCTGGACCGCGCAACAGGGTGACTTCTATCATCGCTGAACTTGAAACGGCTGAAAACAATCTCCCGAACAGACCCTTCTATTGCCATGTTTGTGTCTCGCCTCTCTTGTGGCGTCCCTCTGACCCCACGGAAAGATCCGGAAGGATCGCAACCACAGTGCAATACCTTTTGAAGGAGGGATGAACTTGTATGTTGGACTTTGTCACCTCTTGATGTTTTCTCGGAATTCGCTGGAACTCTTCGTTGTCTGTATGTACTGTGGGTGCTGTTATGTGACAGAAAAAAAGAGGTCTTGTTTAAAAAAAAGCACACAGAAAAACAGAAATTCAAACTCACTTTAATTGACTGGATCAGTTCAAGTGCGTAGGGGAAATACGTTTGAACAATTTTAGTACATTCCAACAAGTGTAGAAAACAAAATAGGGACAAAAAAACGAGAATCGTTAGTGGGTCTACGCAAGTACATGAATGCAAACATTTCTAATCATGTTAGCTTGATTTAAATGCGTTGTTGGTTAAATGCTTCAGGCCTTGTTCTACCTAGTATTAATATGCGTTTTCAGTGATCCAATCACAAGTGGTCAGTCGAGACGCATTACAGTTTACTCCTGCATTTAAATGCATTTCCCATGATAACTTGTGTTCAGATTTTGTCAAGACCCTTCCTTTTTATTTCGTCACACGCTACATTACTTTCGCAGAAACAGCGAGAATGGCACACAAATACGATTGAATGAAAGAAGCCGTTACACTACTTACAAGCGAGCGGGAAAGGAAGCGAATGGAAAGGATATGAATGGTAACAGATTTTGATCGTAATCAGTGTGTTTTAGCACAATATAACGTTTGAAGTTTGAATTGATTTCATTCGACCACATGAGTGTCTACACCAGCGTTATTATAGTTAACAAACTAAAACTGAAATTAAAACTAAAACCATAAAAACATTTTAGTTACTTAAATAAAAATAAAATAATATATATATATATACACACACACACATATATATATATATATACAGTATCTCACAGAAGTGAAACATGGAATTCACCAGAGCTTCACAGGTTGCCACTGGAGTCCTCTTCCACTCCTCCATGACGACATCACGGAGCTGGTGGATCTTAGGGGTGTACTCACTTTTGTGGCCAGCGGTTTAGACATTAATGGCTGTGTGTTGACTTATTTTGAGGGGACAGCAAATTTACACTGTTATACAAGCTGTACACTCACTACTTTACATTGTAGCAAAGCATCATTTCTTCAGTGTTGTCACATGAAAAGATATAATAAAATATTTACAAAAATGTGAGGGGTGTACTTACTTCTGTGAGATACTGTATATACTGTATATATATATATATATAACATAAACTAGTAAAAATACATAACAAAATTACTAAACTAACTAAAATGAAAACAAAAAATATAAAAGTAAAAACTAACTAAAAATATTAATAAAAACTATAATATTCATGACGAAAGCAGTCCGATTGAATGCGTTTTCAACTACCTCTGGAAGAGATAAAAAATGTTTTATTAAATTATTAATGTTAAATTAAAATATGTATTAAATTGCAAAATGCATGTAATTTTATTATATTTATTTTTATTGTAATAATACAAATTTAAAGATGATTTTGCCACATTATTCCATTCCCCAAGTGTTGTTGAAAGTTAACTTATACTAAAATCCAAAACTTTAAACACCAAATATTTTCTGACTGGTTATGATTATGTAATGTAACTGTGATTTATTATTATTATTCATATTAATATTATTTAAATTTAATTTATTTACTATATACTGAACCCATAACATCAAAAGGTTTTTAACCGGCCGTGATTGTATCTCATCACTTTGCATTTTCTCTGTCGATGAATGATAAATTGTTCTTCCGAGGTTTTGACAGTACTCTTTTTACAACTTCTAAATCTGAGTGAGTTTTCCTTTGCAAGTTGAAAACGATGAACATCTAACGTGAAAATGAAATGAATGCACCAGTGAATCGGCGTGCTTTGTTTTGTCTCGTCTAGTTGTGTTATCGAAAGTGAACAAGCTCGAAATGTTGTCAACCCCATTTACAACTGTGTTTAGCATCATCCAATTGTGATTGGATCAACAAAAATGCATCTTAATACCAAGTGTAAACAGGACCTCAGTAACACAATGCAAGAACGCATAGCCAGAGATGGGCACAGATACATCAAAAAGTATTTTGTTACAAATTACAAATACTTGCTCATCAAATGTATTTAATTAAAATACAAAATACTGGTGTGAGAAATGTATTTAATTAAAATACAAGTAATTTGAAAATACAAAAATACCAACACTCATTTGAACTGCAAGAGACAGTGCCATTACATTTAGTTATACTGGAGTTAGATACACACATTATTCATTACAGCGAGGTGGTCTTTCTGCTGGACCTTAGGCCTGTCGCACCTCCTACGGTGCCTATGGTGGACTATGCATGGCAGGGGCGTCCTCTTCCCTGAGGCAGGCCTAACCCTGACCGCATACCACGTGGTTTTCTGCAGGGTCTTCAGCTGGGGACCACCGCTCATTGATGTTTCGCCCCTTAACCCAGAACTTCTCCTGGTGGCGGGGCATTGAACAGGGATGTCTCCCTGACACCCCCTGCAGCAAAACCTAATTCGATGTTACTCCCCAAGCCTTGTCTCGTCGTTTCAGCCAGAGCCAGTGGCTTGCTTTCTCCGCTTCCTCAGAGAGCTCTTTGGTGGATCTGCTCAGTGTGGCTCCCCGTAGTCCCAGGTCCTTGAGCAGGCATGATATTGATCTGCCCACTTTCTCTGCACTCCGCGCCCAAGTCTGCATACTTCGTCTTCTTTCTCTCGTAGGCAGCTTCCAGTCCCTCCTCCCATGGCACTTGTCAGCTCGATCAGTATCACTGACTTCACAGCTGCAGACCACAGCACCACGTCTGGTCTTAATGTGGTGCTGCATATCTCCTGTGGGAACTGGAGCTGCCTTCCCAGGTCTACTTCCATCTTCCACCCCGCCCCTGGTGTTAATAGCTTGGTGTATGAATTTCCCCATATCCTTGTCTGAGAGGCCAGATGTATAAAGTCTTCCCAGGCTTCGGATAGGCTGATCCACGATGCGGGAGATGTCTTCCCCGCTGATGGTGACGGTGACTCTGTCATTTCTCTCCCCCTTTCGCAATGAGAGGCTCCTTGACTTCTGCGGCTTGAACTTCATTCTGGCCCAGGTGATCAGCTCATCCAGCCTCTTAAACAGCCTGGTTGTACATGGGGCGGTTCGTAGCAGGCAGGTGATGTCGTCCATATAGCTCCTTAGGGGCGGGAGCCTCTGACCTGCAGGCAGCCGGACCCCACCCACCACCTGCCTTACCCCAATCAGGATGACCTCAAACGCTGCCACGAAGAGGATGTTTTCCCTAAATGTGTATATATACTGTTTGAATGACAGCTTGGTAAATCTGTTGGCGATCAAATATTTAATATCGCTAACTTACTCATCATAAGTACTTGGTACATTATCAGCGCAGCGGCATGTTCAAACTATTATCATTTAATTTACGTCTCTATGATGACTGGGTGATATCCGGAGG